AACAAAATAAACTCATCCAATATTGGTGTTCTGTATTTTCCCCATTACCAGCCTCGCTTTGATACCACCTTGAAGTAAAAAACCGATGAAACGTCAAAAAAAAACGACAAAATGTCAACTTGCTGTCTAGGTAGTTCCTAGTATGCAAATAGCACATTCCGCGATAGCTCGCTATGAGCGCTGCGAGCGTCATATAAAGCGTCCACCAATGGAGAAATACCTAACTCAACGACACGACGCGCACAATGACCACGCTGCAAGCTGCAAGTCAGTGAAGAGAGCGTATGTTCAAAGTTATACATGATTATCCCCGTTTTTTGCCTTTTCAAAAACTTTGTTTTCGTTTCACGGCATCTCGCCAGACTTTACTTCACGATTGGGCATACCCAACTTCTGTCAAACCTTGTTCTTATACATTTTTAGGCTTCAGATCAATCCGTGACGCGTGATCAAAAACTACAAAAGCCTAAGAGTATGTGGATGCCGAACTACAATTTCGATTGTTTTTCGAATTCTGTTTATGAAATCCTGAATTTCGGATATAGTTAGCCTACTAGATAACCATTTCGAAAAATCATACTTGTATGTTTTATAAATGGGGTCTCCCAAGTCAATCCACTTAGCTCATTTTTCTTCAATTATGCGTCTAGAAGATAAAATACTTTATTCTAATATCATTAATCTTGTGCCTCAGCGGAATGCGTGGGATGAGTAAGTACAATAATTAACGAAACTTCAGTGGAATTATAAGCGCGTCTTCAATTACGGTGGAGTGATTATAAGTGAATCCTGAAGGTCTTACAGGTCAGGCGTTGAAACGCGATTACTTGATTTATCCAGGGACCCCGTTAATTACAGCTCTAAAGTAGGCTTACTCGTACTACGCTGTCCTCTCAGCTAAACTAAATTAAGTAAGCCCTGTGACGTTTAAGATATGCGAGAAGCACGACCTGAAAAATATTAATATAACTCCATGTTATATGCATTCACAACAATGGACTTACTATTCCATACAATGTTGCATCAGACGCTAGCTCAGCAACAGATAACGACTTCTCGCTAACTCGTTGCTTATGCTTTGTTTTCTAGAAGTGCTTTGTAAGCACACCAATAGTATAAATAGGCCTTGCGCCCATGTCATGTTGTTCAATACCCGGCTAGGCACCGTAACAGTCACTTATGTAAACTTCGTGTTCAATTGTAAACGTTTGTAACGGACAGTAGTTACTGTCATCAAATAATTTTTTTAAAAAGTAAAGTTGAATTTAAATGATATAAAAATTGGTGTCAGAGAAGTGGGATAGCTTCAACGCATTAGAACACGCGAACGCTCACTAGTGTGGTGGATGTCTATCCTTCGAGCTACAAAGGACCACGAGCCTACAAGTAACAAGAAGAAATAAGAAAGAAAACGACTAAGAAGAAGAAGCAAAAGAAGAAAGAAAAGGACACAGCGAGCAGCAGCCACCCAGCCACCCAACTGCAGAGAGTCTACTTGGACACATCGAAAGAGATTCGAGAGCCTCCTCTAGAGAACACGACTGCCTCCTGATGTACCACCGGTAATATACAATTGAATCTACTATCGTTTGCAATTATCTCTGTATTTTTCTATTTTTGCGCATTTATTGAGTGATTTTCATATTTTGCGCAATACTTTCTATATTTTTCCCATTTACTTACGACCTTTTACGTATTTTCTACAACTATTACGTGTTTCCCATATTTATTCGTATATTTTGCGTACTATTGTCGAACCTTCCTGAAACATATTTCCAATCACCATGTCAGAGCACGGATCAGACGATTACACAGCACCTGAAGTTCTTGATAACGCTCATGCAAACATCGAGCCTTATAGACTGTCCGAAATATTTTCAATTGTCCCTGAATAGGATGGCAACCCGATACTGCTTTCGACTTTTATCAACGCGTGTAGAACGGCGCACCAAATGGCTGTCCAGGAACAGCGTCTCCTCGTCGTCCTACATATAAAAAACAAACTGCGCGGACGAGCAGCCGAACTCGTCAATTCCCGTAATCCTTTGACATGGGACGACATACTCTCACTCCTTGAAACACATTTCGGAGATCTTTGAGATCTCACATCCTTAATTGCTGATCTGCAGCACATGCGTCAACTACCAAACGAATCCCCACTAACCTTTGCATCAAGACTTCAAACTCATGCGGCGAAGATACATTCAGCCGTCAATCGACAAAACATGAAACGAGAGCAGAAAGCTGCTCAAAGTTCATTAATAGAGATTGTGACTCTGAACTGTCTCCTTACAGGACTAGACTCCAAAATTAGCCCGATTGTAAGATCAGGTCACCCAACAGATATCCTTACTGTGGTCGCTTTTATCAAGCGCGAACTGCAGTTATCATATCTTGAGAGACAAAAATTTTCTAGAGCTCCTAACTCTAATCAAAATTCTTCCATTAAGAAACCAGGTCCGAGAGTGTGCAATTTCTGCCACCGACCAGGTCATTTAGCAAGTTAGTACCAGCGAAGACAACAACTCTCACATAATATTCCGACGACAACTAGCGCATCGCGAATGAAACGAGGCCTAATTAATGCCATAGGTACAATTTGGAAAGCAATAACAGGTAACCTCGATTCATCTGATGGTGAATATTATAACGATTGCATTAACAAAATTTCCAAAGACGAACATGAGCTTGAAAACCTTATGAAAAATCTAATCTCCGTAACCATGTCGGTTATTAAGAACTTCAATAATACTATTCAGAAACTGCAAATTGACGAAGCTACTTTTAACGAAGACATAAAGGTTATTCAAAATAGAATTTATGAAATTTCAGATGATCTTGCCTTTTATGAAGCTAGATTTCAATTTTTGGAACTTTGCGAACAACCAATAGAAGGTTATATGTTTCTAGAAGAGACAATTAACGATATTCTCAATTCCATTACTTTTGCACGTTTGAAAACTATGCGAATCATAACCATAAATAATTTAACTTAAAAAAATACAGTGACATCATTGGTAATTAGAAATTGTTATCAAAAACTAGTATTTCTCGATTAAACCAGCTATTGTGTATTGGGGTATTTGCTCCCACTCGTTCATCAGCGCCTGTTCCAACAGAGCCACAGTTTGAAATTCTCCATAGTTCTGCCTAAGCCTTCTTCCTAATGTATTCCACATGTGCACAATGGGGTTGAGATCCGGGCTCCCTGGCGGCCAGTCTAGTACTTGAATTCCAACATCGTGGAGGTATTGCCTAGACATTCTGGCTATATGCGGCCGAGCATTACCTTGGATTAGGAGAAAATTTTCTCCTATAAAGAGCACATGAGGAAGCACATGTTCTTCCAAACATTCTCTAATCTACCAGTCGGCAGTAAGGTGTCCTCCTCGTAGCGAAACAAGATCTGTGCGAGATCCCAAAGAAATACCGCCCATACAATCACTCCTCCACCACCAAATTGTGCTCAAGGAGCGAAAAAACTTTGAGCATAGCATTCTCCATGCCCTCTCCACACTATTTGGCGACCATTAGATGAATATCTCGTAAAACGAGACTCGTCTGTAAAAAGTACGTTTTCCCAGTCGTCCATAACCCAATCTGCATCAATTCGAGAAATTACTAAGCGCTGTCTTCGATGACCTACATCCAATAGAGGACCTGTAGCAGGTACACGAGATAATACGTTTTCTTCTTTCAGCCGTCGGCGTACGGTATCAGGTGAAAGTATGGTACCATGAACATCATCCTATCTTCGAGTCAAAGCTGTAGCAGGAACTGTCCTCTTTCGAAGAGCTTGCAGTCTCAGAAACCGATCTTCAACTGCGTTTGTTGCTTTCCGTCTTCCTTGCCCAGGTCTTCTTGAGTAAGAACCAGTTTCTCTAAATCTTTGTATCGCATCGAATACCGTTCTGCGACATACCGAATAGGCCGACCATCATCTTGTAAAGCTACAGCTTGCGCTACTTGTTCCGGTGTCATTTTTGTTAAGTATTGCTTGACAAGAATTTTTTTGACATGTCATAAAAATCCTAACAGACATAGCCTACTTGAAACAGTTTCTAACCCGGCAAAGCCTGCTTGAAACAATGGCTATGATTCGCATGATTTTCTTCAAAACAGCATAATATGCTAATAAAATAATATTATTATATTCCTCAATAATTGAGATATTGACATGAATCAAAAAAGAACTGTTGAGAAAAGCTCAAGCTTAAAATTCTCATACAAAGACACATTATTCAGTAATCCAATGTTTTCACAGGGTGTTTAGAAATTTAGGGCAAAATGCACCTTTTAGTTACACCCTGTATATCGGCAAAGATATTCAATTTTATTGCAAGGTCGACAGTCGATAATGATGACACCTACAAGTTGACGAAAAGATTAACGAAATTGATGCAGTTATTTTATATTTAATTTAAACAACAATTTTTTGTCCGGTTAATTTTGCGTGGCAGTGTATATTAAATAAGCCCTGTGACGTTTAAGATATAAGAGAAATATTGCCTGAAAAATATTAACATATCTCTATTACACTCTTTGTCTAATAGTTCGTTATGAGTTTGTACAAACGTGGTGGAAGAGAGTTGGAGACTGGGCCTCAGTATGTTATACTTCAGAATTCTTATTTTAGCTAAACTAAATTAAATAAGCACTGTGAAATTTGAGATATGCGGGAAAATTCTGCCCGAAAGATATTAACAGAGCTCAATAGAATTCTTTATCTAACAGTTTGTTATGAGTGTGTACAAGGGTTGTGGATGAGAGCTAAGGACTGGGCCTTAGTATGCTATACTCCAAAATGACTTACTACGTTGTTCTCTTACCTAAACTAAACCAAATAGGTCATGTAACATTTAAGATAGGTATTCAAGAAATACAGTTCGAGAAATATTGGCATTGCCCCATGCCACTCTTTGTGAAACAGTTCGTTATGAGTTTATAAGTGTCGTGAACCTTTCGGTAGACCATTAGGTCTGTCACATCATCTACCATACCTCTTCGAGCATTTTCTTTCCCGTATTCTGGCTGTAGTGGTTGATCCCCAGCTTCTATTCTGACACTAGGCAGTAGAGCTGGAGGTTCACTTCTTCCCTTGGCATTTTCAGCATACACTGCAAAGCGATACTCTCTGTAGGGCTCCAGGTTCGGCAACCGGAAGACAGGACGCTCTCCTAGAACTCGGTACATTGGCGGTGGAAGCTCTCCTGGAAAGTGGCAAATGACATGAGCTTAGAAGAATATAAATGAAATACTAAAGTGTATTCTAATCTCATTTACGTCTTGTCAAAAGAAACACAGGCTGGCGGCGTTCAATTTCGTGAGTTCCTATTGGCCATTGGGCCACAAATGTACGGGAAGGCAGCGACAAGCCAATTAAAGCGTCGATGGAGTGCTTATATCAATTTTGACTATAAGAAAATAAGGTTCGAATTAGCTATAGAATGTTTGCCAAGGCGAATCCTAAATTAATTAAGCCCAGGTGCCGCGGGCACTATAAAGAAGTTGAAGAAATTTATTAGTCCGATCTTTGGACTAAAGTTGATAAAACTGGCAGATTATTTCACTCTTAGGTATCTCAGACACAAACGCACAGACCTGGACCTTTAAAGTTAGTAATTTCTTTTACAGAGCATATGGGACATGCAACAATAAGCAACCTTTCTTTGTAACTCATACGTGAAAGGCTTAAGCATCCGCCACACCGCCGCAGTAGGGCGATCGCGATAGTCGCACCGCTATCCATGCGGTGCTCAGTTTTCATAGCGGTAAATAATCACACCAGCGCGGTAGGGTGGTCCGCAGCTTATCGCCTTGACAGCGTTTCGTATCGCATATCACCACGTTTTTTGCGATGTCCACAACGAGTAAAATTAGTTGAACAATTTATGAAGTACATATAATGTACAATTTAATTCACTGAAACTATAAAAATTGCAGGAAAAACCTTTTCCTTAAACTCAATTATTAATTATCATTACTAACTAATGATTATCATCAAAATACTTACCTTTTTGGCCTTTTATCTTCTGATCAGGCCAATAATAATAATAATAATAGTTCTTCTTCATTAGTATTGTATAAGAAATCAAAAAAACGTTTTAGAATATTGCGCAGATAAGAAAACTGCCGTACCTTGGTGAACGTGGAGCTATTTAGGATTTTTAACGCTGACGCTACCGCTATCGCTGTATCGCATCGGTGTGGGGCAACCTTTATGATAACCGAGATAATAAAAAATGAGGTGGGTCCGCGAGACATGCATCCAACGTAAAGAGGTTCAGTATTTGAATCAGGCGCAGCCTCGGGCTTACAAAGACCGAGATTGGTAAGCAGCATGTACTTCACAAGCATTTACTTATGCCTTTTTTTAAATGTTCCATGAGTCAAGATAAGCTTTGCTAAAGAAACAAAATGTTTGAGCTCAATAATCTTTTTGAATATGCCCTAACCTGCAGCAATCAGAAACGTTAAAAAGTTTAGGAATTTTAGAAATTGTAACCTCTGCAAAAGATGTTTGATTACCCTTAAAACCGTTTAGAAAGTTGTAAAGCATATAAAAACAAAGTTTGGGACGATCTGAAAGCTATTTTAATGTTTACTCATAACACTGCTACCATTTAAACGATTTTCAAAAATGGAGCATTGCCTACTATGACCTCACATGGATTTACGTGTGGTAAACATTACAAAACAAAAAACCTTCACTTGAGTTTCTAAAATTTTCATATTCACATTATACACCCACCCCGAAGAGCTTTGCTAGCCCTCGCTTTTCAAAAAGGTCCGAGGTTAAGTGCATTTGTACAGAAAGTTATCTCTTGCCGTTGATTTACCCCCTTAGACAGAAAAATTTCAGCGGGCGCACATGGTCGATGCTGACTGTCTAATCTACGGCACTGAGCTACAGAGCAAAACATCTTGAAATAAAACACGACGTGGAAATTCCGTGCCACGTACAAACACAAACTTTGCATCGATTTTTAAATTACCTAACTTTCTCTAAACATTGTTATTCCACTGCCAAATACGTCTACTTCGAGGCGAACAAAAACGGCCGCTAGTTTGAATAATGTTAGACTTTCCGCAAGTTCTCTGTTTAAGAAGTTGAAATAACTCGCTGGCCTTCGAAGATATCCGATTATACTTGGTGCATCACGGTGCACTTAAGGAAGGAACATGACAAAAATTCGTATATTGTGGAATACTACATAGAGTTGAAATGCCATAGTATTGCTGAGTTGATACCCGTTAATCATCTAAAGACTAGTGACTGCAACGCGCAACATGTGCCGCAACATTCGCACTATCGCATGGCATAACTTGCTCCGCAGGCATTTCAGTTTGCAACATGTTGCCGGTACTAATGTACGGGAAAATGCATATATCAAAGCAAATATCTCGTGCACATATTTGACAATATTTTCCACACCTTCTGACAGTCTGCGGTGTATAGTTGGCATCTGTGTTTTCATTTAAACAAGTTGCAAGCACATGGCACGTGTGCCTCCAACTTGTTAAACTGGAAAGGTGCGTACATTCATGCAAATCGCAAAAAGGGTTTAAGCTATAATGTATTTTCTTGTTTAGGTGCTTTTTGAGGTACTCTGTGTCAGGCCACCCTATACAGGGTGTTAGGAAAATGATATTCGTAACTTTAAGAGGTGATTCCTTGAATTATTCTGAACAAAAAAGTTCATTATAACTTATGTCATTTTCGAGGAAAGTGAGTCGTGAATAATTAAATTTTCTCAAACATTTGACATCGCTTCAACGCAACCGCGATACGAGCGCACAACGATCGCAACTGATACATCGAATTGTTTACGTTTGTATGATATGTTTGTTAAAATATGCCTTGAGTTACTGAATACTATTACGAAATTTTTTGTGGCTAATGTTTTTTTTAATAACGCTTTCAGTACAGTACATTTACTTTAAAAGAATGACAGAACTTACCGGCACGTGGCGATACACACCACAATTCCCACGATTATCGGTCACTTATTTGACACGATGCGATGCATGAAAACAGAAAAAAACCCACATCCGTAAATCACATAAAGTTACAGTTAAATGTATTAATAATCATAATAGATATTCAAAATGAGAACCATGAGCATCTACGCAAGCTTGACACCGACGAACCTAATTTTCTCTAACTCATTGAAAAATTCCAGGCATATTACGTGTTTCATTAGCGGCGGCCAAAATACGCTCCATTAAATCATTCTCATCCCTTATTTCAGAGGCGTAGGGGAGACCGGGTACAAAAGTAACACTTTGTACCTTTACCTTGATTTCTGGCTGGGTGTTAATGTTGTCATTAAGTTAATATAACCATATATGAATTCAGTTTATGTTCTTTAGACTAGTAACTCGATTTATTATATTATGCTGTGTTTTATAGGAATAATAGAAATTAAAAAAAAGCTTTAGTTGTTACTTTCGACCACATAGGCAGGTCGAAAGTAACACGACATAGGGTTTGGTAATGAATACAATATGATACATGGCATGCTAACAAATTATTTATTTCAAAATTTTGTATTGATAACACAAATAAACTTCTGTATTTTAAATTACAAAAATTATATATTTTAAGAGAACAAATCAAACAAAAATATTTTTAATTTAAGTAATGAGATCAATAGTAATCATTCTTTTATAATCAGACTTTTATAATTCAGTCATTATTATCCTACTCGGAATCGCAATTATGGTACACATAATTGTTATCATCATCCACGCATTCCACATGGGACCACATTTTACATTCGATACATTGTATCAATTGTTCATTTGGTCGACTATTGCCAAAGGTTTCTAAACAGACAAGACAGAAGCAATCTTCGTCGTCAGGCCTATCTTCCTTTTCTTTTGGTTCCTTCTTTGTCTTCTTTCCTTTTCCCTTTTCGTTTGTAGGTATCAATTTTCTCTTACCTTCTCCAGTACTGGTTTTCTTTCGTTGTTGGTGCTATTTTTCAATTAAATTTTTTTCGGGAGTGTCCGTGCGAATGGCAGTTTTACGTTTTTTACGACCTTTGTTTCAGCCCTCGGATCCGCTTGCGGTAAAGGTCTAAGATCTTTAGGTGAGAAACTAAACGTCTGGGCAGAATTTGCTTGTTGCAGCTCGCTACGTCCTGGCACTGGTTTTTTGGATCTTTGATCAAAAATTGAGTTAGCTGACAGAAGATCAGTGCCAGCAGAGACAAGGTCCGGTATATTTTGAACAGCTGGTGATTGGTAATTCTGGCTTGATTTGTTTGATAAATCATTGCTATCTGTACGGTGAACATTCCGGTCAACTGATGTTGGAAGATCACCAGCTGGAGTACTTGGATCAACTTGAATGGATGACGTTGCGTCAGAACTAATCAACATATCATTTGGTGAAACTTTTCTGTTAACTTGTAACGGCCGGTCAGTCACAGATGATGGCGCGTAGTCATCAGCAGTAAATATATTCCTATTAAATGGACTTATACCGGTACAGGAAAATGCAGCAATTGCATTTTTATCAGTTACAGAAAGAGGAAATGCTTCTTTAACAATACCAGGACTGTGTAATGAATATTCATCGTTCGACCAGGATGATTTCGCATCCAGTTGTCTGTAGCGGTGTTTATCATTTTCTTAAATGGCCCAAATACTGCTCTATCCAAAGGCTGAAGCTTGTGGGTGCAATGGGGCGGAAGCGATAGCAGTACTATTCCATTTTCTTTACAAAAGTCTATAGCTTGAATAGATATATGTGATGCATGGTTGTCGAGCAGTAGCACACATTTTTGATCAGCTGTGGGCTTGACTTGTCTTTTAAAATGTTGTATACGTAGAAACAGTAAAAATTCTGCATCCTGCATCCATCCGCTAGCATTGCCAGCTCCAGCACAACCAACAGGACCCTCACGTATCATATGGTCTTGGAACCGTTTCAGCGGGAATACGAAAAAAGGCGGGATGTGTCCTCCTTGAGCATTAATGGTAACAGCAACAGTTACTAGTCTTCCGCGCTCTGCAGAGGTTACTGCACCTACTTGCTTAGTTCCTTTTTGAGCTACAATTTTGCTAGGTTTTTGGACAGTGGTTACCCCTGTCTCGTCCATATTCCAGATATCTTTTGGCTCAAATTGGTACCTATCCATTACTTCAGCAAGGTTATCAAAAAATTCACTCGCATTATGCTCGTTAAGACTTGAAGCCCGTGACAGACTCGTTGCTTGAGGA